TTTTTGAGATGGAGACTTACTCTGTCACCCAGACTGGAGTGCAATGGCACGATGTTGAATCACTGCAACCTATGCCTCCTAGGTTGAAGTGATTCTTGTCTCAGCCTCCTGAGTAGCTAGGATTACAGGCTTGCACCACCACGCCTGGCTATCGTTTTTTGTTTGTTTGTTTTTGGTTTTTTTTGTATTTTTAGTAGAGACAGGATTTCACTGTTTTAGCCAAGATGGTCTCAATCTCCTGACCTTGTGATCCACCCGCCTCGGTCTCCCAAAGTGCTGGGATTACAGGCGTGAGCCACCGCACCTGGCCAATTCTGCCTATTCTTATGGGAATTTCTATGTGTGATCCTAATATCTTTTAGAAAAAAATGGTCCCATGACCAAACTCAAAATACCAGGTGTTTCTCTCTAGAATCCCTTTGACCTCTGCCAACATACATCTATATTCTCTTCCCTTAGTGGTTTTATTTGCACATTCCCTTGAGTAAACATAGTCCATATATATATATATAGATGTTGCTAAAGGCAACTCCAACAAAATTGCAGACTAATACATTTCTAATAAAATTACATATATTGAAAGCCTAAAACTATTTTTTAATTCTTCACTGTTCGTGGGAGCCACAGTGGATTTCTTTAGGGTCCAGGAGACGTAAGAAGAGAGGACACGGCTGGTGTGCAAATCAGGCTCCCTGTTTGTTTTTCTTTTTTTTTTTTTCACCCCCTACCCCTCAGGCTCCCTGTTTAAATAAGACTAGCTCTCTGCCTAGTGACCCTGCTCATGGGGCCTTTAGTGTCCTCACCTAAAAAAACATCACGTTTAGGGTCTCCAACAACATCCTCGCTTGCCAAGAAATTGTACAAATATTTGTCATCTTGATTAAGTAACTACTGACAGAGCAGCAGTATCGCCATCTTGGATAAGCATTCCCATTCTAAAGTTCATCTTGATTAAAAACTGCCTAAATCCAAAGGGCATCAGCCTAATGGCTAAGGTCAGCATAACCATAAGCCACAGATAACATTTCCAATCAAAAACATTACAAACTCCTCCCCAACCAGAGACACGCCAGCCCTGAGATAACCGAGATGTCAGCCCCAAGATAATCTCCCCTCCGACCAGAGACATTCCAACCCTGCCATAAGCTTCTCCCCAGCACAGAAACATTCCAAGCTTGTGATAAGTACCATTTCCCTAAAACTAATATATACTCTTAGTCTATAAAAGATAACGCTCCTCACAGAAATCAGCCAGAAGCCCCTCTCAGGTTATTTTTCTAAAATAAACCTGTCTTTGACTGTCAAGCCACATTTTGTGTTTCTTTCCTCTTTCTTTAACTCTTACAACTATAATTTATTTCACTGAATCACTCTACAGCTACTCTGCCCCTGAATATTACCTTAATAAAGTTGAAGAATGATATATAGGCAAATTTGGTATCATCCTGTATGCTACCTAATTCAACTAAGTGCTCATTATTTGCAAAAATTCTGATCACTAAATTTGTTTTTAGGTCTAGTTTGGAGGTCAAGTAAGATTTTTTTTTCCTTTAGAATGAGTTGATATATATTAAAGCTGAATATGTACAAAAGAATAAATTCTACTCCAAAGTTCTAACATTCTCCAAACAACACCCAGCTCATCTTCTGGACTCTAAAGACATGGGTCCAAAACAAAAAACTGACTAACCAAAATTTTAAAACTCGACATTTTAAGTCCTCTGAACAGCTCATGACATCTGAGAGCAGAAGTGGAGCTGGCAGTCGCATGGTCCAAAACCATCTCTTCCTTTGGAAAAAAGATCAGGGGAAATGAGGCAGCTCACCCAGAGTCACACACTGGACAAGTCCAGAGAAACAGTAGGGCAGGGCTGTGCTCCTCTCCTAGGTGACACCCAATGAGACTAATGTGCCAGTTCGCTGTTCTTGAACCCTTTAAACTGCTCCTCATTCAGTTATTATTAAATGAAAGTTTTACTTCTCTCATTAGAAGCTATGTCTATATAATTGTAAGACATCTGCCTTTTATAGTTGATGCAGAAAAAAAATAGTCAAATCTCCTAAGCAGTCTTAGCCACTGGCTGAGAATGGCTGACGAGAGACTTAGCCAGAGTAATATGGAAGTTGCATTCTTTGCCTGGAGGCTCAGAGGTTATCCACTGACCAAGCCTACAACCTGAGGGGAAAAATGCAAAAAGAAGGGCACATCTTGTGGAAGTGTTGGCATGCTAACCTGAGTAGTTAGGTCTGTGGTAACTGCGAGGTGGTTTTCTGAAAAAGGAAACATAAAATGATTCACCAAAAGGCATGACACAATATGGGACGGCGCCAAGTATCATGTCAGAGAAAGTGAAAATGTAACAGATCAAAGAAGGCTCTACTCCAAAGTGGAGGAATTGCAAGGAAAAGGTTCTCGCTTTCATGCTGTCTGGCTCTGACCTCACTTTGAGCTTTTAACAACCATAGGTCAACCCAATTCTAAACTGTGCATGCAACAAAGTCCTGATGCAAAAAACAAAAACAGAAAAGCAAAACACCTTCTGGCTAAGAGGAAAGAGTGGAGAATACAAAAGGGGTGGCGAAAAGAGAAGCATCTACCTGCCCGTCTGCAGCATTCTGAGACATAATGGGTGGGTCTCTGGGAGAATGGAATATTCCAGATACAAGTCCTGGCTTAGCTTGTCCCTGTCACACACAACACCCCGACCTCATCCAGCTTACTCTTAAAAAACAAAGTGGAGTACTGAGATGATGGGCCAAGGCTTAGGGCCTAATTTCTCGAGACAGACTTCTCCATCTCTTCCTGCCCTAGTGTGTACGGGAGCTACATCAGCACTGGGAAGGGATGGGGAGAGGTAGAAGGCAGGGGCAGCAGGGTAGCTGAAGGGACAAGAGAAATGCACTGGTTTTTATTTTTATTTTTATTTTTTTGAGACAGGGTCTCACTGTGTTGCCCAGGCTGGAATGCAGTGGCTCGTCACAGGGACAGTCCAACTACTGATCAGTGCACAAGTTTTGACCTGCTCTGTTTCTGACTTGGGCCGGTTCACCCCTTCTTAGGCAACATGGTGGTCCCTTGCTCTTGGCGGCAGGGGTGGGGGGCTCCCCATATTGATGCAGAAACCCAACTGGCATAGCACCACTATAGTCCAGAACTCCTTGGATCAAGCAATCGCATTGTTTAAAAAGCCCTGCAGGGCCAGGATGCTTTTGAGGGCTCTTCCTACCTGATAGGAAACACTGTTTCCACTCACTGGTAGAGCTCCTGGGTCCAGCTGTACTCGATACGCTATGTAGGTCAGGTGGGAAGTACCCTCCCAGGCCCAGCCCCGGAGTATGTGTTAACCAACAGTGCCAACACTGCCAAGCTCAGATTGAATACACACTGTTGGCTATCCTTCAACTCTCTAAAGGGACCAGTGAGTTGCTTAAACAGAAAACAAAAGGCTTTTGCTTTTGGGGAGGCATTAGCATAACGACATTTAAAAGAAAGGAAGAAGCCTGGGGAGGTAGCTCATGCCTCTAACCTAGCACTTTGGGAGGCCGAGGTGGGCAGATCACCTGAGGTCAGGAGTTTGAGGCCAGCCTGGCCATCATGGTGAAACCTCATCTCTACTAAAAAAAAAATTAGCTGGGCTTGGTGGCGGGTGCCTGTAATCTCAGCTATACCAGAGGCTGAGGCAGGAGAATTGTTTGAACTCAGGAGGCGGAGGTTGCGATGAGCTGAGATCACGCCACTGCACTCCAGCCTGGACAACAGAGTGAGATTCTGTTTCAATAAATAAATTAGTTAATTAAAATTAGAATTAAAAAAATAAAGGAAGAAAGAACACATACCTGAAGGAAGCGATTATTGCAGTAACTTCATCATCTGGATAAAACTGTGTAATAGAATGTGCCCCAAGCAATTCTTTCCCATCTTTCCACCAAGAAATTGGGGTGTCCTGGTATATATTAGGTACACTGATTGAGCAATTAAATTTGACGTGTTTATGTTCAGAAAGTATTACGTGTCCAACTGTGTGTTTGAAGGCAAGAGGTGGTAGGAGCTTTGACCCGGCAGAGGTCACCCAGGGAATAGCGGCATTTCCTGTTTGTGGTCTTCCAGGCTGGGTTGGTGAAAACATCAAGGCAGGCTGGTACCCACTGGCATGAGGAAAGGATAACAGGGGTGTGTTGTCAGCTTGCAGCCTCCCTGGGAATGGCAGGTAAGGCTTGGCTTCTTCCCTTGCCTCAGTGATAGCTGTAAAACAGAACATCCAATTTTTAGCCTTTTAAATAAGAAGAATTTTCCAAGTAGGTCCCCAACTTCTTATAGGCCACGAAGAGAGAGAAGTGGGGTGTCCCCAGTTCCCCAGGAAAAGATGAGCAGAATTAACACGCATATCTGGAAATATTCTTATTCACCAGTTCATTCATTTGTAAACTCGCTTCTGGAAGAGTTCTGAAGAAATATAATTCCCCCTACCAAAAATAAATTTTTTCTTATTACTGACTCATTGAAGTCCTTCATGCCCAACTCAGCAGCATAAGAAGAAGGTGATGACACAGCAGAGCTCAAGATCAGCTTTCTTGGCTGGACGTGGTGGCTCACACCTGTAATCTTGGCACTTTGTGAGGCGGAGGTGGGAAGATTACCTGAGGTCAGGAGTTTGAGACCACCCTGGCCAACATGGCAAAAACTTGTCTATATTAACATATACAAAAATCAGCCAGGCATGGTGGTGCATGCCTGTAATCCCAGCTACTCAGGAGGTGGGAGGCGGAGGTTATAGTGAGCCAAGGTGGTGCCACTGCACTCCAGCCTGGGTGACAGCAAGACCCTGCCTCTAAATAAATAAATAAATGAATGAATAAATAAATAACTTTCCTTACTGTCTGCTCTGTCAGAGACGACGTTGTAAATGTAGCTAAGTGTCTTGAAGAAGATGCTCAGGTTCAAAAACAAAACAAAACAAAATTAGCCGGGCATGTTGGCATGTACCTGTGGTCCCAGCTACTTGGTGGGGGCTGAGGCAGGAGGACTGCTTGAGCCTAGGAGGTCAAGGCTGTGGTGAACCAAGATTGTGCCACCACACTCCAGCCTGGGGGACAGAGTGAGACCCTGTCTCAAAACAAACAAACAAAAAAACCCAACAACTGCTCATGGTTGCAAAGAGTTCACAATTTTTGTGCCTTAACAACAAAAAAAGTGTGCTTAAGTGACGAGCTGTAGAATACTGAAGCTTCCAGGAAAACGCCTGCTTGCTGGAATAAACTCGGAAATGTTTTTATTTCATCTGGTCCACAAGTAGTTTTAGAAGGTTTCTGAGTGAGGGAAGGCTCACTCAGAAACTTTTGGCTTTCTGAGCGGCATTTTTGGACACAGATTCTACACTGGTTGTGATCTATTCAAATACTTTGTCAGGGAGTGGGTGAGACAGGTGGGTGAGATATAGGCCTGCCATTCTATGTTGTAGGTTAATAAGTGAGGGTACACAGAGGGGCTCCATCCTTGCTCAGGGGCTAGCCTCCTGCCATGCCCAGGACATCAAGCCCTCCTGGGCTCCTGAGTGTGTGTGTGCAGGGAGTAGGGTGTTCTTTGCTCAGAGCTGTGCCCTATTTAGCAAGTAACACAAGATACCCAGTTAAGCTTGAATTTCAGATGAACAACAAATACTTGTTTTTTAAAGAGACAGGGTCTTGTTCTGTCACCCAGACTGGAGAGCAGTGGCACAATAACTCACTGCAACCTCAATCTCCTAGGCTCAAGCGATCCTCTCACCTTAGCCTCCCGAGTAGGTTAGACTATAGTCTTGTGCCACCACATCCAGCTAGTTTCACATTTTTTTTGTAAGGAGGGAGTCTGGCTATGTGCCCAGGCTGGAATTTTTTAAATTTAAGTATCCAGTTAAGTATTTAATTGGCTAATGGGGATACAGGCAGGAAATCATGGGGCAGAAGGGAGAGGATCTGGGAATTTTTTCCTCTGGCTTCCCCTCTGCCAAGCCACTCTGGATGGCACATATGCCTTAACTGAAGGGCATACCTCTGTCTGGGAGCCCTCGCCATGCAGCTCCTTTTCTCACCCAGCAGCCGTTCCTTCCCAGGCCCCTTTGGTGTTGGGGGCCGACTCTCAAGGCTGTTGCCTTTGGGAACTGCCTCCTTAGTGAGTCAGGATGAAAGCCAGACGGAAGAGAAGAGATTTTCCTACAAGGATGCAGAAAGGCTTTTCTTTATCCTGAGGTCTTGATGAGTGTGGGAGTGTAGGGCCTTCTGTGTGTTTTAGGAGAGGGCTATGTGGGTCAGCTGTTGGCTGGCTTGGAACCCAGCTGTCCAGATAGATGAGTGTACTGTTATGGGAGCGTTCACTTACGCCAGGGAGTGAAGATCAGGATGACAACAGAAAGGGACTATTGCCTCTCCAGTCACCCACAGACCACATGCCAGGCAAACCTTCTTCACAAGGGTGGGCCTGCACTCTTGGGAGGAGGAAGGGACTCCTCTTCCTCTGATGTGTGGAAGCTTTCTGCAGCAATGCATCTCCTGGCTATTTATCTCATGCTGGCAGAGCTCCCTCAAGGGTGCTCTGCTTATTCATGCAGGCTTTGAAGCCTTGACAATTCACCTTTGCCACCTGCATGGGCAAACTCATCTGTGATTCTTCCTATTCAGTGAGTTACAGAGGACTCAGGAGTCAGGGGTTTAATCCAAATAACTTTTTCCCCCCTTTAAATGTAGGTCTCTTTTTTTTTTTTTTTTTTTTTTTAGACGGAGTTTTCTTTTTTTTTTTTTTTTTTTTTTTTTTTTGAGACGGAGTTTCGCTCATGTTACCCAGGCTGGAGTGCAATGGTGCAATCTCGGCTCACCGCAACCTCTGCCTCCTGGGTTCAGGCAATTCTCCTACCTCAGCCTCCTGAGTAGCTGGGATTACAGGCATGCACCACCATGCCCAGCTAATTTTTTGTATTTTTAGTAGAGACAGGGTTTCACCGTGTTGATCAGGATGGTCTCGATCTCTTGACCTCGTGATCCACCTGCCTTGGCCTCCCAAAGTGCTGGGATTACAGGCACCCAGCAGGTATCTTTCTTAGAAGGCAAAAATTGGAAGTGGAAGAAGTAAATAATACCTTCATTGGTTTGTTGAATTTATTTAAGAATATTTAAAATTTTTAATTATAAAGTTAACACATTTGTTGTGAAAAAATTCAAATATTTACTAAAGCACATATAATATAAAGTGAAAGCCTGCTTTGTGAGCCCAACCCTGCAAAATGATAACCTCTGATTACAATTTGGAGTATAATCTTCACTTTCCCATGAGCCAAGCTGTTTACTGAACAAAGTGTTAATTTGGTACAGGCAAGGCCACCCACTAAGGTGACATCACTGAAGTCAGGGAGCCACTAAACCCACCCTGTAATCACTCAACACTCTGGATGATTTAAAAGATATCTGATCTGCACAGTTTGATTTACCAGAAGTTGATAGAATGATTTGATTGCCAACAAATATTTATATAGCACCTCCTGGGTTCAAGATTTGCTACAACAGTCAGATAGGATAAAGAAGGGGACTTGTTTCAGGAACAGAGCCAGAGTGGGTCCCAGGAGCTAAAGGGGAGATGGACATGGCTAACTGGGGTGTGGGGAAGGGAGGTTGTCTCATAGCATCAGGTAGGCCTTCTCTGACTAATCTCCTAGAGTTAGCACCCCCAGGTTAGGTGCTAGGACCCTTTCCTTTTGTAATACATCTTATGATTACTCATCTAGTTCTTTCTCCACTGCCGGACTGAAAGCTCCATGATATCTACCACCTACACTATAGCCAGTACATAGGAAGTGCTCAAAATAGGTTTGTTGAATGAGTGAGTAAAGGCATGGATCTGAGAAGGAATGGAGAAGGTGCCTGGGGCTGCCAGGGTCAGAGGTGGTGGGAAATTGGAGAGACAGGAAGTAGCCCAACCAGTTTGGAAACAGCGGTTTAGCTGAAGAGTGGAGCTAATCTGTTAGAAGTAAAATGGGAGATAAACCAAAATTAAGCTGAATGTGGAGAGCCTCGAATCCCAGTTGAGGCAGGAGAAGTTCCTGGAAGGCTTCTGAGCAAGGGAGGGTGAGGATCAGAGCTGGGCTTGATCAAGGACATTCTGGCACCAACTACCAGCCGAGTGGGAGGAAGAAGAAGAGGAAGTGGAAGGCAGTGAAGACGTGACTGTGGGGACAGTCATCAAGGAGTAGGAAGGAAGCTGGAGACCGAGAAGAGGGGGCTGACAGCAACAGCATCCTCACTACCGCCAGTGTTCACAAAGGAAAGTCAGTATGACACCAAATATCGAGCAAAGACACGATCCTGGCATAAAGGAGTGTTCTCAGGAGTGGACAGCTGGCGGCTCGAGGCTGCTCAGGCTCAGTTTGTTCATAGGAAAAGTGGGGATGGTAATCATGGTGCCCCATAGGGTTGCTGATGGGAATAAAGGAATTATTCCTATGTCTGCATCACAGTAAGCACTCAATGTTAGTTATTATTATTTTAATTATTTTCTCGTTTTATTGTGAGTTAGTAAAAACCTTCTATAGTCTAACCCCTGCGAACTGTTGGGACTGAGGCTGGACCCCCACGTGGTTGGTGAGATTGGTGAGGCTCATACTACACAATTTTGGGGGGTGGTATTGCCATTCACATCATGATACCTACCATCTACACTACAGTCAGTACGTAGGAGGTGCTCAAAATAGGTTTGTTGAATGAGTGGTTGGGCTACTTCCTGTTTCCCCGATTTTCCACCACCTCAGACCCTGGCAGCCCCAGGCACCTTCTCCATCCCTCCTCAGATCCACACCTTTACTCACTCATTCAACAAACCTATTCTGAGCACCTCCTATGTACTGTTCTCTAGACCTGTGCAGTGTATAACCTCACCAGCCCTCTGTAGGTGCCTTGGTTGATTATTCAAGATGCGAAGAAAAAAAAGGCTAAAACAAAAACCATTCCAGGGTTTTGGACCCAAGGGTTGGGGCAATGATAAATTACAAATTATATTTTAAGTTGCTAAATTTTTCATCATCGTTTTAATTACTTTGGTTGTATAATGTATCTTTTCCTCCTGTTTTTCCCCACAGAAATGGAATACTTTCAAAATTATTTTTGGGGAGTGATTGCACGTAAGTTCAGACTGAAAGGCTTACCCACATCAAAGACTTAATGCAAATGTGGTCCTTTCTACATAGCACATGGAAAAGTGGGGTGCCTCTGGTTGTAATTTGA